CTTACCACATATATCCTAGGGGGGCAATTTTGTATATTTTTGTGTTATTTGCATCTCCAAAACTCCTACTTTTGTCCTACTTTTCTACACATTTTCCTACTTTATTCCTACTTTTCCTAAAATTCTAGTCCTACTTTTGTCCTACTTTTCTACATCAAGGATGCCAGAAAGCCTGTGTAATATACAGTATCAGTAGACACAATCTCAAAATGCAAGGGATTTTCCTGTTCTCAACATCAGTTAGCATAAATAGTCATATACAGTGTATCAGTAGACACAATCTCAAAATTCAAGGGATTTTCCTTTTCTCAACATGAGTTAACATGCGAAATAGTGCAGTTTTCATTGTAATATACAGTATCAGTAGACACAATCTCAAAATTCAAGGGATTTTCCTTTTCTCAACATGAGTTAGCATAAATAGTGCAGTTTTCATTGTAATTTACAGTATCAGTAGACATAATCGCAGAATTCAAGGGATTTTCCTTTTCTCAACATGAGTTAGCATGGTGCAGTTTTCATTGTAATATACAGTATCAGTAGACACAATCTCAAAATTCAAGGGATTTTCCTTTTCTCAACATGAGTTAGCATAAATAGTGCAGTTTTCATTGTAATTTACAGTATCAGTAGACATAATCGCAGAATTCAAGGGATTTTCCTTTTCTCAACATGAGTTAGCATGGTGCAGTTTTCATTGTAATATACAGTATCAGTAGACACAATCTCAAAATTCAAGGGATTTTCCTTTTCTCAACATGAGTTAGCATAAATAGTGCAGTTTTCATTGTAATTTACAGTATCAGTAGACATAATCGCAGAATTCAAGGGATTTTCCTTTTCTCAACATGAGTTAGCATGGTGCAGTTTTCATTGTAATATACAGTATCAGTAGACACAATCTCAAAATTCAAGGGATTTTCCTTTTCTCAACATGAGTTAGCATAAATAGTGCAGTTTTCATTGTAATTTACAGTATCAGTAGACATAATCGCAGAATTCAAGGGATTTTCCTTTTCTCAACATGAGTTAGCATGGTGCAGTTTTCATTGTAATATACAGTATCAGTAGACACAATCTCAAAATTCAAGGGATTTTCCTTTTCTCAACATGAGTTAGCATAAATAGTGCAGTTTTCATTGTAATATACAGTATCAGTAGACATAATCCCAGAATTCAAGGGATTTTCCTGTTCTCAACATGAGTTAGCATGCGAAATAGTGCAGTTTTCATTGTAATATACAGTATCAGTAGACACAATCTCAAAATTAAAGGGATTTTCTTGTGCTCAATTAACATGAGTTAGCATAAATAGTGCAGTTTGTCATTGTAATTAATATACAGTATCAGTATAGACACAATCTCAAAATTCAAGGGATTTTCCTGTTCTCAACATGAGTTTGCATCAATAGAGCAGTTTTCGTTGTTATATATCAGTAGACATGCACAATCTCAAAATTCAAGGGATTTTCCTGTTCTCAACATGAGTTAGGCATGATAGTGCAGTTTTCCTAGTAATATATCAACATAAACACAATCCCAAAATTCAAGGGATTTTCCTGTTCTCAACACGAGTTTGCATCAGTAGAGCAGTTTTCGTTGTTATATATCAGTAGACACAATCTCAAAATTCAACATCTAAAACGGTAAAGCTGGTTTCCATATGGTCGTAACTGTCGCGAACGTGTTGTAACTGTCGTTAGAGTAGTGTTCGCGACCAAATGGAAACATGAAGAAAAGTCGTGTCGCGACACGTTGGCAACAGTTCACGACTGTCGTTGAGATAAACTGGAGTTCTATCTCGACGACAGTTGCGACAAGCTTAAAACGTGTCGTGACACTTATTTTTTAATGGGAACAGAAAAACAACAGCGTGGCAACAATCAGGGGGGGGGGGGGCAAAGGTCCCCTTTGTTGGGGACCGTGTTTGTTTTTTTAAAACTGCCGCCAGCTACTTGTACGATCCCAGCATGGGTACGAAATTAATTTACGACAGTGTCACGGCAGTTACAACCATGCATATGGAAACACGCATAAAAATCATTCACGACAAACACT